CTTTGTATCTAAAAGGTCTGAATCTCAAATGGCACCCTAATCCCTATATTTACATTTTAGTGAGTGCATACATTATTTATTTTTTTCCACAACCCACAACCCTGGCATTGCAAACACCATGTTCTACCAACTGAGCTACATCCCTGCCGGCCATTCCCTCCCCTACCCTGGGCCAATTGTGCGCCGCACCATGGGTCTCCCGGTCGCGACAGAGCCTGGATTCGAACCAGGATCTCTAGTGGCACAGCTAGCACTGCGATGCAGTGCCTTAGACCACTGTGCCACTCGGGAGACCATATATAGTGGCTATGAAGAGAATATGCTGCCATTTGGAACGCAGGAAAAATCCCTGATGGAGCTCAACCTACAGACTACTGTATGTACATGTAGACTGTACCATAACAGTAGCCTATGGTAGCATCCCAAATGGCACCCTATTTCCTATATAGTGCACTATTCTGACCAGGGCCCATATGGGAGTAGGGTGTAGGGAATAGGGTGCCATTTGGGACGCATGCTCAAGTTACATTTTAATGACATATGCACAAGGACAGTGAAATGCCTTTCCTGCCCGGCTCTAGCCCCAACAATGCAGTAATCAATAACACTGTAATACTGAGAATAACAAGGTAGAACATGATAAAGTAAGTAAGCATACTATATACAGTCAGTTCCAGTAGCATATTTACAATGTGCATGGATACTGGATCTATAGAGGTAGATATGTACAGGGGTAAGGTGACTAGGCATCAGGATATATGATAAACAGAGTAGCAGCAGCTTGTATGTGAGTGGGTGTGTAGAGTCAGTATAAATGTATGTGCATATTATGTGTGTGTGAGCAAATGAAGAAGTGAATGTTTGTGTGTGTGTTGGAGTGGCAGTGTGCGTGAGTGTGTAGGCCTCTGTGAGTGTGTAGGGTTCTGTGAGTGTGTAGGGCTCTGTGAGTATGTAGGGCTCTGTGAGTGTGTAGGGAGTATGTAGGGCTCTGTGAGTGTGTAGGGCTCTGTGAGTGTGTAGGGTTCTGTGAGTGTGTAGGGCTCTGTGAGTATGTAGGGCTCTGTGAGTGTGTAGGGAGTATGTAGGGCTCTGTGAGTGTGTAGGGCTCTGTGAGTGTGTAGGGAGTGTGTAGGGCTCTGTGAGCGTGTAGGGCTCTGTGAGTATGTAGGGCTCTGTGAGTGTGTAGGGAGTGTGTAGGGCTCTGTGAGTGTGTAGAGAGTGTGTAGGGCTCTGTGAGTGTGTAGGGCTCTGTGAGTGTGTAGGGAGTGTGTAGGGCTCTGTGAGTGTGTAGGGCTCTGTGAGAGTGTAGGGCTCTGAGTGTGTAGGGAGTGTGTAGGGCTCTGTGAGTGTGTAGGGCTCTGTTAGTGTGTACGGCTCTGTGAGTGTGTAGGGCTCTGTGAGTGTGCATAGAGACAGTACAACAATAAAAACTAAAATACAAGGGTCAACTCAGATAGTCTGTGTAGCCATTTTGTTAGCTATACTATGATGTATTCTGTGTCAGAAGTCAAGTGTTCAGCCCTCCTCTCCTCCAGGGTAAAATCCTCCATGTTTCAGCAGACGGCTGATGTTAATGCCACTGTCTATTAGGTTTATTGGTTGTATTTTGATATTCTGACAAGCTAACGTTTACTCCGAGGGCTGACTGTCCACCCCTTCACCACCGAAACACTCTGTTTGGCCTCCAGGAGAGAGAAGGAATGAGAGAGAGAGAGAGAGAGAGAGAGAGAGAGGGAGGGAGGGAGGGAGGGAGGGAGGGAGTACCAAGGGATACAAAGAGATGATCAAAATATACAAGGTTGTTCAGAGTTCTGTGTTTGACCCTTATTTTGTAAAACATGTGTCTGTGAGCAAGGAAAAAACCCTTGAGGGGTTTGAGTATATTCATATACAATCTGTATGGATATAATGTACAGGGTCTGGGTGGGCTGAAGCTCCCATAGGGCTCTGGTCTAAAGTAGTGCCCTATATAGAGATTAGGGTGCCATTTGGGACGCAGCCTGGGAGTGAAGGAAGCCAGCTCTGCTCTGCTCTGCTCTGCACCCACTGAGAACTGAACAGTCAGTCAAGCATCTCAAAACAACAGGGAGGAAGACAGGGAGAGAGGGATAGAGGAAGGAGGAAGGAAGGGGGGAGGGAGGGATAGGGGAGGGAGGGGAGGAAAAGGAAGGAAGGGGGAGGGATAGGAGAGGGAGGGAGGGAAGGAAGGAAGGGGGAGGGATAGGGGAGGGAGGGAGGGAAGGAAGGGAAGGGGGAGGGATAGGGGAGGGAAGGAAGGAAGGGGGAGGGATAGGGGATGGAGGGAAGGACGGAAGGGGGAGGGATTAGGAGAAGGGCGGGAGGGAAAGGGAAGGAAGGGGGAGGGAGTCGGAGGGGAGGGAGGGAAAGCGACGGGGGAGGTAATCGGAGGGGGGGAGGGAAGGGAAGGAAGGACGGGGGGAGGGATAGGGGAGGGAGGGAGGGAAGGAAGGGGGGAGGGAGGGAGGGAGGGGAAGGAAGGAAGGGGGGGAGGGATAGGGGGATGGAGGAATATGGAAATCTTTTGAGCATGCTCTTAATTGGGGTCGGGGGAAGGAAGGAAGAGAGAGAGAGAGAGACGAGGAGAGAGAGAGAGGAGAGGAGCGGAAGTGAGAGGAGGAGAGGAGAGAGAGAGAGAGAGAGAGAGAGAGAGAGAGAGAGAGAATAAGAGGTAAAGGGAGGAAAACAGAGAGCAGGAGGGAGAGCAAGAGAAGGAGAGAGGAGTGGAATGGGAAATGGTTGAAAGGGGAAATAGAGAGATTGAAGGAGAGAGAGAGATGGGGGAGGGAGAGAGAGAGAGAGATGGGGGAGGGAGAGAGAGACATTTCTCCATGTGTCATCATTGCCCCCTGACAAGTGCTGAGCAGTAGGAGGGAGAGGGAGAGAGAGGGCAGGTGAAGCAGCTTTGCTGACTAGAGGAGTGGATTTCTCCCTCCTTCATCCCCCCATCGACCCCATGCTTGTGTCGGGGGCAGAGAATCACATGCCAAGGCTTTACATCCTCCTTAATGGAGATCAGACGGATGCCCTTGATGCCGAACCATCCCAGCGTCGCCTCTCACACTGGGCCACAGTGCCCTCGAGTGGCCAACAATGGGTAGTGAACGCAACACCATGACCCAGCACTGCTCTCAGGGTGAAGTTTCCCCCTAGGTACAGATCTAAGATCAGCTTCACCTCTCCCCAATCCTAACCTTAACCATTAAATGTGGAAAATGTCAAACTGACCCAGGACCAGTGTCTAGGGGCAACTTCACCCTACACTCCATGATTGGATAGGGCGATAGGCAGTCCCCAGACCGTTTTCAACTATCAAGCTGAACTATCAGGTTTGATGGTCATGAAGAAAGCTGCGTAGCCCTAGTAACAGTGACATAGAGCCTAGCACATGCAGACTTCACTGCACCTACATCAATGTGACATGAGAACTTAATGACAGAGTCTGCATCCCAAATGGCACCCTGTGCCCTGGTCAAAAGTAGCACACTACAGGGAATAGGGTGACATTTGGGACCCAGACAGGGTGATTTGGAATAACGTCCCAGTCGCCCTCCCTCTGTTTGTTGTTGCTAGGAGACAGGAAGGTCGATCTAGGCTAGTCCAGGACAGTGGTATTACACCTGGCTCTGTGGAATGTTACCTATAGATCTAGGCTAGTCCAGGACAGTGGTATTACACCTGGCTCTGTGGAATGTTACCTATAGATCTAGGCTAGTCCAGGACAGTGGTATTACACCTGGCTCTGTGGAATGTTACCTATAGATCTAGGCTAGTCCAGGACAGTGGTATTACACCTGGCTCTGTGGAATGTTACCTATAGATCTAGGCTAGTCCAGGACAGTGGTATTACACCTGGCTCTGTGGAATGTTACCTATAGATCTAGGCTAGTGTAGGACAGTGGTATTACACCTGGCTCTGTGGAATGTTACCTATAGATCTAGGCTAGTCCAGGACAGTGGTATTACACCTGGCTCTGTGGAATGTTACCTATAGAATGGAACGGCCTCATCTTGTTTAAACAGAAATAGCAGGACAGAGGTAAGTGACTGTTGCTGGGCAGGTTATCTTTCTCTTTATTTCTCCCTCTCTATCTGTAAGAAACAGATTGAAACACATCCTTAGAGTAGAGAAACAAAACCAATCTTATTCTTCACATTCTTTTTTTATTTCCCGCTGTATTTAATTCATATCAAAGGTGTAGCAAAGAGTACATCCCAAATTGCACCCTATTCCCTATAATGGGCCCTGGTCAAAAGTAGTGCACTATGTAGGGAATAGGGTGTCATTTAGGACGCAATAAAAAAACCTATGGCCATTACAGGTGGGAGGCCTTGTGGTAGTGCTATAGTGTTGACATGTCTCTAACACACAATCCCCTCAGAAAGGCCTCCTCACATAGCTAGAGCAACCCACCTTAGACACGTCTTTAGACACACAGGAACAGAGCAACAGAGAAGGTCTCATCACATGGAGCCACAGTATTTTCCCTTCTTTACAACAATCAGTTTAGTTTTATTTATTTATTTCTGTATTTATTTGTACAGGTGATCCAATTGAGATGAAAGGTTTGTTGAGGAGAGATCTGTCCCAAGAATATAGCAAGGCAGCATGACGACTGATAGGTGAAAGGACTGGATAGGTTATTGCTTTCAACTATCAAGTCCTCTTAGGTTTAAGGCCAGGAAGGAAATGAAGTTATGTATGTATGAAACAGCCACAGTAAGTTGATGTTGCCCCTAACAACTGATACAGGGTCACATCTTTTCTCAACTCCCTAATTGTTAAGGTTAGGATTGGGTGTAGAGTAACCTGATCCTAGATATGTGGTTAGAGCCAACCATATAATTAGAATGAGTAGAAAGGAAATACACAATCAAGTCAATGATGCCATAATGTTCTACGCATTCTATTCTAGATGCCAACTTCTACCTGGAGCAGGCCCAGTCCCTTGTCTTCTACTCAGTTCTGCCCCGTGTCCCCTTCAGAGCCAGCCATTGGTGGAGAAGTCCAGTCTGAGCTGCTGTGATTCGGCCTCTGAGAGCGGTTGAAGAGGAGAGCGACAGGCGCCGCCGTGGTAACCAAACCACTCCATCGCCTGCTTGAGGGCGGGAACGCCAAACTTTCTGGTCACCTAGCAACAACAGAGAGAGGAGGGGATGTTATGCCAATAACTTAACCCTGTTCCTATGTCACATTTACTGTTCGTAGGGCAGTGTAGCTTTCTGTTCAGACACTACCGGACCTGTCAAGTTCACTATTGTAGGGTAATGTCACTTGACTCACAGCTCTTTGACAACATTATGCAGGGTTATTTAGGGCTATGTAGGTTCACTCAAAGCTGTGCTGGTCTCTATGTCACACCTATGTAGGGGTATGTAGGGTTATGTCACTGATATGTAGGGTTATGTCACTTTTATGTAGGATTATGTAGCGCTATGCAGCTTGATTTACGGCAGTGTTTGGCTCTGTCACTGTTACATAGAGCTATGTAGGGTTTATGAAGCTTCCCTCACAGTAGTGTTGAGCTCTATGTCTTTGCCTTCTCTATGTCACTCTTATGCTACTTAGGGCTATTGTAGTGGTCATGAAGTCACTATGCCAACTCTTATGTAGGGTTACATGAGGTTATGTAGCTTGACTTACAGCAGTGTTGGGCTCTATGAGGCGCTGCTGCAGAGCTCTGGCTTCTTCCCAACGTCCCGACACACACAGCTGCTCCAGCTCACACACCTCACGACCCAGCACGTTGGCCAGCGCACACACACCGCCCACACAACCTGCAACACACACACACACACAGTATTAGCTGGGTCCTTTTTTAAAGGGACTACTTGACAGTATTATTGATCTGAAACATAGCTTTAACACTCACACGTGACATGCTCCTTCATATTCCTACAATGTGTGTGTGTGTGGGGTTTTGACTGACAGCCCCCATGATTTTTCCCCAAAAATGATTTTGATGACAGCTAAAAGGGACGCCCCCCCCCAAAATTTCCCCAGGGAAAAGAGCCCCTCCTGGAAAAAAAAACCCTCCCCCCCCCTCCCCGGCACAAAAGGCAACCCCACCCCCCCCCCACA